GGTTGAGACCAATTTCACAACCTGCCGCGCAAGCACACCAATTATCTGTCTCGTTGCAGAGCTTGTTTTGGTGTCGCTCCTTCCCCGACCACCCCACCACACCACACCCCGCGCCCCTGCTGTCTCCTAACTCCTTGAAGGCTCCTTTGCTGCTGCATGATATCTGAGGCTGGGGAAGAGAGAGGAAGAGGAATGGAGGAGGAGAAATGGGGAAAGGAGAGAGAGTGTGTGTGTGAGAGAGAGAGTAAGACAGAGAGAGAGAGAGAGAGAGAGAGAGAGAGAGAGAGAGGCGACATTCACAAAGGGGATCCTCGGTAGAGGGTGCCGGGGGTCGCCCTGCCCCTGCTGATGCCCCTGACGCCACTTCTCAGACGCCTGTTATGCACGCGCGAGCTCTCTCTCTCTCTCTCTCCTTCTCTCTCTCTCTCCTTCTCTCTCTCTCTCCCCCTCTCTCCCGCCGCAAGCGTCTCCAAGCCCGCGTAATCTCCCCCGAACCCACCCCCTCAACATCCAGCGCTGGAGCAGCAGACGGCAAGCAGCAAGGCTCCAATTTCGATGTCTCGAATTCTCCATCACACCTTGAATAGGGTTTGGATCGCCAAGAAAACAACAAAACCGAAATAAAGGCCGAGGAACGGAAAAGAAGAGGGAAGAAGCCGAGGTAATCAACCATGTCGCACCGAGAGAAATGTTTCGTGGCAGGCATAACAGTTTTGAAACCCACCATCAATTTTTATCCGGTTTGTCTGGGTTAGTCATAGGCATCAAAATTTTAGTTGCTGAAACTAAAAGTTAATTTGCTGCGACTAAAAATTTGATGCCCACTCTGTCAACTAAATTGTGTACATTATATACTTAAATATAAATAAAGTGCACATGGCATGTATACTTTAATAAATGTGTAAATGACAAGTAAACTTTACTTAGAGTACGTAATACATACATTTGAACTGACAGAGCATGGCTGACCTGACGGATCAAGCAATTTTTGGTGGCTGCAACGAGCGGTCTTTCAGTGCGGCCACGGTAGTGCTCACAATAGGGTGTCCTCGCGCGACGCACGCAGCAGGGCACGCGGGTAGGACGTAGGATACAGGGCAGGACGCACGCAGTACGCATAGGACACCCACAACAGGACGTCCACGGCAGGAGGCCAGCAGGACACTCACAACAGAACGCTAGCAGGACACCCACAGAGTGGCACCCGCAGGACACCCAGAGCAGAACGTCAGCAGGACATCCACAGCAGGACAACAGCAGGAGATCCACAGCAGGACGCCCGCAGGACGCCCGCAGTGCGCACATAGGGCGTTGGCGCTGCGCTCCCTCACGGTTCAGTTGCGCCCCTCAGCCCGCTCCCCCAGCCCCAGCCCCTTATATACACCCCCAGCGAACGGAATGAAACTGCAGTAAAAGCCGCACGCTCCAGAGAACGATAGGCTGCTAATGGACTCCGAGGGAGGAAAAGGGAGGGGGGGGGATTGGGAGATGCGACCCTAGCTGCCCTTTTTCATCCCTTTTGTATGTGAAACTGTCACCGTTACGATACAGTTACACTCGCTCCGGGCGAGCAGAGCAGGGCTTTGCTCAGGCAGGAGCAGCAGGGGAATGGAGAAGCAGCGCAGAAAGACTTGTTAGGGACTTGAGTGAGAGGGAGGGGAAGGGAGGAAGAGAGAGAGAGAGCAAAGGAGAGGATTAGGAGCCCTCCAAACTCCACCAGCAACTCACACACAAGTTTGTACGCCTCGCCTGCCCTGCCCCACGCCTCGCCAAGGTGTGCGGAAGCCTCGGGAGCTTGCAGACCTGAGCGCAGCACGCTGGAGTGCATCCCGACAGCCCCGAGGACGGCTGATGGATGTGCAAACTACCATAGACCCATGGACTAGGGATCTGTCTGGGCGGTCAGTTTATTCGGCCTCGAGTTGAACTCTACCTAGTTGGGCTGCAAGGGGTGCGTTCATCCCATTCTTGTTCCTGCTCCTGTCTAGCAGCGCAGACCAGTTTACTATGAGTTTAAGAACAAAACTTCAATTTTCAAAAAAAACCTTTAGGTTTAATTGAAGTAAAAAATCAAATAAATTATCAAAACGAGATTATAATAAAGAATGCTCGTCTACTTTTTTGGACGATTGTGCATTTTTGAAAGTTGTGAAAAGGATTTTCAGTCTCTACACCGACCTCTCCGTGGTCTCTGGAGGGCGGTGCACACAAAGGAGGGCGCACTCTCGGCGGTGCGCGCGGTCGGTGCGGGAAGGTTAACCCCTTCCGCTTCGCCGACCGTCCTTTTCAAATTCACAAGGAGAAATTGCGGCGGGCAGATCAAGTGACTCGCCTCGCCTTCTCCCCGGCGGCGGCGGCGGGGGTGGGCAGTCCTTCCCCGGGGGAGAAAGGGAGAGGGAGAGAGAAGAGGGGGGATATTAAAAAAGAGAGATAAACACAATTTGCAGCACCGGGCGCGGTGGGGTTGGGTAGGCCACGGGAGGGGAACGAGACTTATTAAGACGAACCCTGTCCGCTCCTCCGCCCCAGAGGAGCGCGAGCAGGTCAGGGGGAGGGAAAGGCGCGGGGGCGCGGCGCAACTGAGCCGCGGGCGTTCTACCTTCACGATTAAAAAGACTAGCTGAGCGATAAACCAATAGCTAGAAACGGGATCACAAATTATTTAGCCAATTTGCAGAATATTTAGAGCTATGTTTAGCAACGCAGCAAAATATCTAACAATTTTGGCAAATTTAGGTAAATTTTGGACTATGTAATAGCTACAAATTTAGCTACTTATAGCAAATTTTTAAAGTTCTGAAAAAGATTTTTGAATGGTGGCAAAAGATTTGTAACTCGAAGTCAAAGCTACGGCTCACGCCTATGAATGACCTATTTTCGCTCCTATCCTAACACAACTATGTAGCTTTACAAAGCAAAAGAAGGGCAATAAACAAAGACACATATAATAATTTGCAATAGTAATTTCATGTACTTACAGAATGCGTAGATGCCGCAGGTCCTCGAAGTCAGTCTCGTAGAGTATAGTGATGTTGTTCCCTTGTAAATCCCTGTAACACAGAAGACATAAACTTCGTTAGGGGAATTGTTGTTGAAGGACAAAACTCACTGCATGATGGAGTAAAACAGGGAGGGAGAGCGAGTGAGCGAGCAAAAAAGAGAGAGAGACACGGAGACGAACGAAAAATTGTCGATATTGGCCATGGTCGGTCGGCTGGCCGGCAGTACGTTTGGCTGAGTTATCAAAAGATACGGTTACACAGCACGGTGCGAGCAGAGTTATGAGCAGGCCCACAAAAGACCCCCCTCCCCCATACCCCTTCCCTTTTTTTCCATCTCTTTCTTTCACACGTAGCACACGGTGCGGCCACAACGCAAAATATGAAAAAAGAGAGAGGGAGGGAAAGCCACCTTGGTGACAATATTGCGGGCATAGTCCCCTCCCTCTCCCCACAACTGGACAGAAAAACCTCGGAAACACCATATTTGGTGCGAGAGGAGCGAGTGCACCATCAAAAAGAGTCGTTGCCCGCTACATTTTTAGCGAGACAAGCCCTCAAAAAAAAATGTAAGCTGGGCACAGTCTTGCATAACGCAGAGACGATGAGTGTTGAGGCGAAGTAGCAGCCAGTAACCGTTTCTTACAGTTAACCCGTTTCGCTCCTTTTTTGGCACATGGGTGCGAGCGTGAGGGTTCATCCTTTCATGCGTTGACCAATATTGCTCTCCACAAAAATAGCCCCTTTCAAAACGTATCCCTTATCTGGAATACAGGAAACAAAACAATTGTCCCCAGCAATTAAGACCTTTAAAACACACTTTACATCCTTATAAACAAAATTTCTTTTGTTTGGACATTTAGCGCGTGTGCGATTGAAAAGAATGAGAAAGGTGTGTGGGTTTGTGGTGCGCTGTGGCCGTGCGGTGCGGCGCTGGCGGTATGGCACTTGATGGCTTCCTTGGGAGGTCGAAGCCTTGCGGGGTGCGACTCCTTGCGGAGGTGAGACTCGGGGCTTACACAGGAGTGAAATGTGTGACAATCTTGATACTGACTTTTTAATTTCCTATAGACGACGTAAAACTATTCCCCTCCCCCCCCCCCCCTTAACTCCTTACAGACAAGAAAAATTACAGAGTACTGTAAATAAAATATGTCCCGTCACTGTATAGTTTTGCGTCATAATTTCGTAAAATGCGTAAGAGGGGGTGTATTTTCGTATTCGCCACAAGCAGGCGGAGTGGGGGCGAGTGCGATACGGCAAGAGGGGATACTCCCCCGCCAAAGCAACAGGTGCGGCGCAGGGTGTCACATACACACGTTAGCACGCACCTCGGGGCCCGCCGGAGAGAGAGAGATGGTCCCGCCCTCATCGCCATTCGCAAGCCTCGGTAACGACCCCGTCAACTCGCTCAACCGGCATAGCGCACCTCACGGCAGAAAACATGTCACGAATAACATGGATTTGCCGTTGAGCACGTACTTGAATAGATATTTAATCACGGCGACGTCACATTCAATCAAATGTAAATAATGGTGTCACATTACTGCTTAGAAGATCATGTCATATTCGTAAGAACGTGAGTAGCATTTTGCTCGCTCTGCCATCATGGGCCTTGCGCTTCGCTAGCGTACCTGCGTCACGCTTTAACCAATATGTGACACGAAAAAACAAAAAAGTGACGTCACAGTGTTTGAATAACAGTGACTCTAAATGATAATCCAAAATTCCGCGTTTATTGTGTCTTTATTCCACACAGCACACGCCACGCAGTGTACTCCGCCCGCACCACGCATCGGTGACTAAAAAGTTCGCAGACAACAGATAATGTACGACAGAAGGGCGCTACGCCGCAGAGCACCACCCTTCCACCACCCCTGACACTCTATCCAAGTCATATTTATTTTCAAAGCACATATCGCACGGCATTAAATTTATGTCTTAATAGTAGCCTGACTTTTCGAAAATGACATGCACGGTACGAATAGTTTCTTGTATTTCAAAACCTGGTCTTATCTTACAGGAAACTTTCTCATTTTACTTCAAAACCACCTTTAAATCTTTAAATAAGATTTCGGAAAGAGGCATACTCGACTCCAAAACCAGGAAAAAGTGTGTTGTGAAATGAATCGACAGACTTCAGTTAAATTTAGTCTTCTTAGAAACTAAAGTTTAAGAAGAGTCAGTGGTGCCAGACCCCCCCCC